GCCTTCTGGGCTTTGAACTTGCCCTTCCCCCATTTCCCTCTCCCCCATGTGTCTGACCCTGTCTTACCCATTTCGAGTTCCAGCGGTGCAGCCCCTCTGAAGCATCAATGCACACACCTGCTGTTGCTTTTGATTTCTGGAAGCCATGTAGTTTCAACTTGTAACAAATATTTGTAGTCTTCAATAAACTGTGGTATTTCTTTAGCTAAAAAAAAAAAAAAAAAAAAAGTTTAATTTGAAATCTTGAATCTGCCTTCTAAAAAAATAATATTTATCCCCATTGGAATGTATCAGCATTTCTACATTTTAGAGAAAAGAACCTATGCTTTCCTTTCGGTACACAGGTCAATCTCTTTGTTCAAACCAGTAGATTTATCAAGTACTACTCATTCTTCTTACCTTGTAATTAGCTGTGATTTCCTTCAGGGCTAAAGTTCTTAAGACATGCCTTCTAGGGGCACCCGGGTGGCTCAGTTGGTTAAGCGTCTGACTTCAGCTCAGTTCATGATCTCAGGGTCCTGGCATCGAGCCTGGTGACAGGCTCATCTGCTTGTCCCTCTTCCTCTGCCCCTCCCCCTTCTTGTGTTCTGTCTCTCTCTCAAATAAATAAATCTTTAAAAAAGAAAAAAGACATCCCTTCTAACAGAATTAGCTTGGGGTGTAGAGGGGAGAGAGGACATGGAGATCAAGCTGAGAGAGCGTTTATGGAGTCAGAGAGTTCCTTACTAAATTCATGTGATTGTTACAACTCCCTTACTCCAAAGGTCCCAGGGTAGAATTCACTCAGTGTTTCTGAAGGATTGCTGGGGCTAGTGTCAAGAGATCCGTTTACAGAAGAACTTTGAAGTCTCCCTTATAAGGCTTTATCCTCACAACAGAGTTGCAATGGCACGCAGGTTGGATCCAAGAGTAACAGGCCAGGGTCGCCTGGGTGGCTCAGTCGGTTAAGCGGCTGCCTTCGGCTCAGGTCATGATCCCAGGGTCCTGGGATCGAGCCCCGCATCGGGCTCCCTGCTCAGCAGAGAACCTGCTTCTCCCTTTCCCTCTGCCTGCCACTCTGCCTACTTGTGCTCTCTCCCTGTCAAATAAATAAATTAAAAAAAAAAAAAAAGAGTAACAGGCCAGTGATAGAAATTGGACAAAGAGGGGAGAGGATTCTAGGCCCAGAGCAGTGCCTGTCCCTGAGATTATTTTCTGACCCAGCCTTGATAGTCCAAAACATGAGTGTGGGGCAAAGCGCCAAAATAGAAGAACCAGAATCCCCATACTCTCTAAAACACTGAAAATAAAAGTTAGTACCTGTAGGATCGTGCCAGAGATTTCATTTGTTTGACAGGAAGCTTACAGATGCTTCCTTTGCATCAATAGGCTCCGCATGGCATCAACACCCAAAGTCGTCACTAGCAGTCACCACTGTAGGACTCTGGAAGTAATGGGTAATTGTTGGTTTGACACCTAGACTTAGCTTTTGCCTGAGCGTGAGAGCTGGGGTTCTCTTAGTCGATCTGACCTCCTTTTTCTCACCTCTAGTCCTTCATGGGTTTTTCTTAAGGATATAATAGAACATTTGGGGTGACTGAAGATATCATCACATTATTCCTTTCAGTGTGTCATTCCTTACCAAGATGTATATGGGAAATCTTTGCTTTGCAACTGGAGAATGAGGGAGTTTGCTCTAGAGAGAAGTGGTGAGAGGAGAATGACGAGGGAAGGAACAAGTCCCCAGCGGGCTCCTAGGCCTGTGTTTACTATCTATTATTGGAAGGGTAGAGGACTGACAGCCACACACCTGTCTTCATGAGGTTTTTGTCAAGAGGGATGGCCAAAATTATACTCATCCATTCAAATGAGACTTTTGGAGACAAGGAGAGCTGCTTTGAGGGCACTGATGATACAGTGAGGTCACAGTCAAGGAGCAAATAGATCTTCTTCCTTCATCAGCTTGCATGGAACTCAAAACAAGTCTGTCCCCTCAGGATTGGATTATTTTAAGAGCAACTGGAGTGGGTGTCCTTAGCAGGTACATTGCGGTTCTCAGGGGAGGCAACTGGCAGCATTGTGGGTTCTCTGGACCATAATATTAGTGGGTGACAGCTGTGAGGAAAGGGAAAACAGAATAAGAGAGGACAAACAGCATGTTTGCTGGATGCAGATGGCTGCAACTGATTCATTGTAGGCACAAAGAAGTCCACCTTCAGAAACTCTTGAAATAACTCTTTTCAGAAAGAAAACTCTGTGTAAGAAATTGGATTTTTTCTCTACTCAGTCCCCCATGTCTGGCACTCCACATATATTTGTTGTGGAACACGTTCAGGATGCTTTAGGGAAGGTGATTTCCAACAATTAGTTCAGTGAGCACTTGAGCTAGCATCCTTTGATCATTTAAATATTTGTGACATAACTTTATAGACACAAAGTCGTGGGTGATATTTGTCTTGTGGGCAGAGCAATTTAGTTTAGGTCACTCTGTGAAAGAGGCTTTTCTCTTTGGGATGGAGGAAAGGGGGTAGAGGGGCAATTAGGGCAAAGGATGGGTGTGATTTCTGCAGTGGCAAATCCAGTGAATCTGGGCAGTGGTTCTGTTTTTATGTATGGAAGGATGCTGCTGTGCTCTCCCAATTCCCTTCAGCTTCACTGATCAGACAAGGCTGCCCACAGCCATGTGGACAGCCTCGGGGCCCTCTAGAATTGAGCTATCCTTGGTGCGTTTCTCAAACACCAAGATATGAGGTATTCTTTTTTTTTTTTTTAAGATTTTATTTATTTATTTGACAGAGAGACACAGCGAGAGAGGGAACACAAGCAGGGGGAGTGGGAGAGGGAGAAGCAGACTCCCCGCTGAGCAGGGAGCCCGATGTGGGGCTCGATCCCAGGACCCTGGGACTATGACCTGAGCCAAAGGCAGATGCTTAACGACTGAGCCACCCAGGGGCCCCAACATGAGGTAATCTTAAGGATATAACAGAATATTTGGGATGACTTGAAGATATCATCACATTTTTCCTTTCAGTGTGTCATTCCTTACTAAGAAATTTTTACAGGAAATTTTTGCTTTGTAATTGGAGGGCCCAAAGTTTCCTTTGAATCAGAAACTTCCTCACACCAGTCTGTGCCAAGGATCTGATCATCCACATGAGGCAGTCTTGGTGTAACATGCCTGTTTAAAATGCAAATATACTGGGGCACCTGGGTGGCTCAGATGGTTAAGCGTCTGCCTTCCGCTCAGGTCATGATCTCAGGGTCCTGGGATCGAGGCCCGCATCGGGCTCCCTGCTTGGTGGGGAGCCTGTTTCTCCCTCTCCCTCTACTGTTCCCCCTGATTGTGCTCTCTTGCGCTCTGTCAAATAAATAAATAAAAAATCTTTAAAAAAATATTTTAAAAAAATAAATAAATAAAATGCAAATATACTACCTTGGAGGGGTAACATATTAATCCATTACCAGCCATTAATACCACAACACAAATTAGTTTGTCAGCCACTGAGTAGGCATTGCCTCAGGGAATGGGACATAGGGCAGATCTGTTACTTTTTCCCCATCTTAGATTATGATTTATGATATAAACAAAAATTGCAGCAGCAATAAAAAAGTCTAGAACAAGGACCAAATTCCCCCCATGTTCCTACTGTAGTAACATATTAATTGTTTTATCTGGGTTCCCTTTCAGTTCCTATTCAAATTCAAAATCAGCCTTAACTCAAGTGTTTCCCATTTTTTTTCTGAATAATAATAGCTAACATTTATTAAGTGCTTACTGTGTGCCAGGCACTGTTCCAAAAACACTTAAACAAATTAAATCATGTCATTGAAACAACAGCTCATGAAGGAGATACTGTTTTATCTTCATTTACACATGAGGGGACAAAGGCCCAGAGTAGTTAAGTAACTTGCCAAAGCCAGTAAGTAATTCAAACTCAAGCATTTGGCTCCAACATCCATGCTTTTAACCCCAGGACCATGCATCCCATTTGCCAGTAAGGAAACTGAGGCATTTGTGAGTTAATTAACTTGCCTACAGTTCCTTAAATAAAATGTGGCAGAGCCAGAGTTTGAGCGGGCTGCCCGGTCCTGAGCCCACCCTCTTAACTGCACTGTACAGATGACTGACACTTCACCCTCGTTGATACAGACCTTGAATGAGGTTGATAGCATTATACCTATTTTACAATGTGGGGGTTCAAGACAACTGATTAATTTGCCCAAGTGCAGATCATAAATGACAAATCCAGGTTATAAATCCAGATTTTCTGACTTTAAGTTCAGTACTTGTTTGTTTATGTTCCTTTTTATCTGCCTCTATTGACGTTCAGTTTTTTTAACATAGTTTAAACAAAACATATGATCTGTATGTGTTCATATAATATAATTCAAGAACACTTTCCCTGTTACTAGGTAGTTTTTATAATTTTCATTGTATTACCAGCTCAGTAGTACCCTGGGGTTATGAATCATGATGTACTTAAACACCCTGGTTGAATTTTTGTGGTTTTTTAAAAATATTTTTCTGCTGTTATAAATAAATGTCACAATAAAGCCATCTGTGCAGTATCATTTTTCTTTTAAACTCTTTTTTCAGGAATGACAATGTATAGCATCTCTCATTTTGTTTGATTTTCCAACAACGATTCAACCTTTTTATAAAACAGAGCATCATCTCCTTGCAGACAATAGCAACAGGCACTTTCCCGGCAGCCTCTGTAATGTGAGCTGCCTGGAGAGATTTAGACTTTTCTACTCTGTGGCTTCTTCAGAGGCATTCAGCAAATCAAACTGTGCTACCCATTTGGTGACAGAGTGACCATTAGCTGGAACATGGCCTTCTCCTTTTTGGTGCCAGCTTTCTTGTGGGCTGCTTTGTGCAAGGACCCAAGCCTGAATCTCAGGAATGATTGCCGAGGTTGGGCTTTGGATTGATACCACCTCTGGGAACAGAAACGTACTTCTCAGAATTGCCCAAACCCCCCAACATCTGCCCCAACTGTGCCTGCCCAGTTGGGCTAAAGAGCACAAATGCCCAGTAATTAGTTGCGCATCTCTCTTGGTATTGTCACCAAGACAAAGTAAATTCTTTTTTTTTTTTTTTTAAAGATTTATTTATTTATTTGAGAGAGCGAGAGCGAGAATGAGAGAGAGCACATGAGAGGGGATAGGGTCAGAGGACGAAGCAGACTCCCTGCCGAGCAGGGAGCCCGATGCGGGACTCGATCCGGGGACTCCAGGATCATGACCTGAGCCGAAGGCAGTTGCTTAACCAACTGAGCCACCCAGGCGCCCCAAGACAAAGTAAATTCTTAAAAGTCTTGCCTCATCTGTCTTCTAGGATATAAATTCCTTGGGAACATAAACTATGTCTTGGTTGGGTCTCATTGTGGGGCTCTTGACCCAGCCAATTCGCAAATGTTAATTGATGTCTTCATATGTTGGTCAGGATGGGTGCCTTATGCTTTATAGTTAGTTAACTCTAACAACCACTTTCCCTAAAATGAAAGATTGATGATTATAGGGAGACTTTGTGTACTTTGGAACACATTGCAGAAATAATCTATTTATGCTAATTATCATGTCTCATTCCATAACATTTTCACAAAGTGAAATATTGATTTTTAAAAATAAAAATAACCTTGAAAAAGTGATAGGTAACATATTCTGCACAGAATTGATAATTATTTTTTATTAATCTAATCTCATTACATAAATATATTTGAGAAAATGTTTTGTAAAGGTTTATTTTTTTTATAAATTCTTCTCAGGGTTATATTTTTCTAAGCACTCTGACTTAGAAAAAAATAAGGTCATCATAATGTCTTATTTCAAAATAAATTATTAAGTTAAACAAAATTTGGAGTTAAAGTGTTGATGCCAGGATATTCATCCATCTCAGCCACAGCCAAGAGCTTTCATTATGGGCTGAGTTCTTGAGAAAATCTGTATGTCTTAGGGCTGTTTATGTCATTGCCCCTTTGAACATTTTCAATATTTAATTATGAACTTTAAATTTGTTTATCTCACAACTGTATTCTATGTAGCAACTGAACATGAATTGTAACCAGCTGGAGGAAAGAAATAGAAATATACTGTGATAGGGGCGCCTGGGTGGCTCAGTCGTTAAGCATCTGCCTTCTGCTCAGGTCATGATCCCAGGGTCCTGGGATCGAGCCCCACATCGGGCTCCCTGCTCTGCAGGACGCCTGCTTCTCCCTCTCGCACTCCCCTGCTTGTGTTCCCTCTCTTGGTGTATCTCTGTCAAATAAATAAATAAAATCTTCAAAAAAAAAAAGAAATATACTGTGATAACCTCTAAATATAAAAATATCAATACATCAGTGTTGATAGTCAATAACAAGTGAGTTAGAAGCTATTAAATATGACCATTAGATAATTTCTCAAGTTCGATAGTTTTCATAATCTATACAGCAAAATTGATACTTGTGTCATGACCTAAATTTCAAATTCTGTTTTATAGAAATCAGAAAGAAAGGGGATCAATTATAGAAATAATTAAATCACTTCTGAGGCTTGCCTCTGGAATAAAATCCCTGGAAGTCTTCTTTTCTTTTCCAACTCTACAGTATACTAGGTTCCCAACGATAAGCCCATAGGGCATCAGAATAGTTGATCAATGATAAAATATAATGGTTCTCAAACTGTTATGAGAAAGTGTAGCGTCCTGTGGATACATCACTGACTACTACAACAACAGAGAGAGGCCAACGACTCAAGGATCCCAGCTCTCCCATGACTTTCCAGCCAAGTCGTGCCATGTTTGTCTGTTTTATAGATTGTCCTTCCATCTGAAAGTTCTTTCTTTTTTCTTTTTTTTTTTTTAAGCTTTTATTTATTTGACAGAGAGAGACACAGCGAGAGAGGGAACACAAGCAGGGGGAGTGGGAGAGGGAGAAGCAGCCTTCCCACGGAGCAGGGAGCCCGATGCAGGGCTCGATCCCAGGACCCTGAGATCATGCCCTGAGCTGAAGGCAGACGCTTAACGACTGAGCCACCAGGCACCCCCTGAAAGTTCTTTCTTTGGAATTCACAGGAGATGAGGCGTTCCATTGATAAAACTATTGCATTAATTTAATGATGATTTCATAGTCGAAGTAAAGAATAGGTCAAGTCAGTCATTTATCTTTTTAACTTCTTTTGGCATTCTAGACAAAACATAATTTTAGGTTAGATTTAACTGGTTACTTAAATCAATCCACAAAATAAGAGAGGGATTAATAGAGACCAAAAGGAATGTGTTTGTGTCTTTAAGTGATTTAATATACTGAAGAACAGAGATAAAATTGAAGAGGACTAGCAAAGTAAATCAAGTGGTAGAGAAAGAGAAAAGAATGTAAAAGTCAAAAGTCCAGTCCTAGCTCCAAGCTGTTCCAGGTAGAGCATCAGAGAGCAACTACACTCTAGCAAAAGCAAATAGAAGCCATGTTTTGAAGACCTGTATTACAGGCATTTCATGAGTTTGTAAGACATGAATCTGAAATAGCTAGCAGCTTGGTTCTCAAAAGATCTCTGAATCATGTGCAGTTACTTAGGTGAATGGGTCAGGATCTCATCATGAGACAGGTGGAAGGGAAAAACCCAGCCAATATTTTCTCTAGCAACGAATGAGATGTGCAATCGGGAAATTTTCGTGAAACATACCAAATGGGTGATGTCAGTCAAAAGACAATAAGGCACAGAATTTCAGTATTCTGATCAGGTCTCAGAGATGTGGCACATCGGTATGTGAAAAAGGGGTCCCAAACATATGCAGAAGGGGAGGTAGACGATGGTGAATACACAGATAAAAACAATGTGAGCAACAACAATCATGGCTAATAACATATTTCTGAGTGACCAAACCAAAGACAAGGCATAGATAGACTGGACAATTCTTCTTTGGCCATTGTTTGGTACAGTTTCATTTCCAAATCATGTAGAGTCTTTATAGTTCCTAAGGACAAGAATTAACATATTCTTTTATATATAAATTTAAAAAAGAGCTAAAAGTCCAGAGGGGAAAAAATGTAAAAATATGTTTTCACTTCAAGCTTTGATTTAGATATTTAAAGTGGGAAATGTTATTTTTTTAACACTGATTTAGGCTTATCACCGCCAAGATTTTTCATGGCTCTTGTAATCTGAGATTATAAACTAAAAATAGAAGAAAAGAGGCTTACCTGGGAAACAAGACTCAAAGGAGTGTAGACTGTAATAAAGCATGAGGCTTCCCCAGGAATCAAGGTCTTTCTCTATCTAGTAGAAACTTCAGTTTACTCTTTTACCACATTATTCCCTCAACAAGTATTTACTAAGGTTTTGCAATGTGCCAATTTATTCTAGGTCCAGGAAAATATGAGGAATGGCTTTATTGTCTCCATTAGAGAAAAGGAAAGTAATATAGTTGGAAACCTTTGAACCCCCACTCTTATCCCACCTTCTAGGTTTCGACAGTTCTTTCTAATATTTTTTACAAGTATTTATCACATTTTTTTTTAGTAGAGTTATTTTTTCATGTGTTAAAGGTACCTTAAAGGTACAAACCATGTCATGCTCCTTGAGCCCTGATTTGTTGTCTTCTACACAGCGGGTATTCAATGTATGTTTAGTGAATTAAATGTTTAAAAAACATAGATATCATTTAATTTTTCATAAAACACACCTTCAATAGTGATTGTAGAGCAGGCAGAGGATGAACTTCCATTTACTTGCTATTGTACTAGGACACAGTGTTACACAGTACCCTTCCTCAAAGAGCTATCATATTATTTCATTTATTTCACGAGTGGCCTCAAAGGTGAGTAGAGACAGGTATTATTAACTCTATTTTTTTGAGGGGGGGAGGAGCAGAAGGAGAGGAAGAGAGAGAATCTCAAGCAGGCTCCATGCCCAGCATGGAGCCAAACCTGGGGTTCAATCTCATGACCCTGAGATCATAACCTGAGCCGAAATCAAGAGTTGGACACTTAACCAACCAAGCCATCCAGGTGCATCCTTAACTCTACTGTAAATATGGAACAGATCAGTAGCTGAAATCATACTAAATATCATTTATTTTATAGGAGAGAAATCCAGGTCAAGAATACAGTTTTCAGGGTGCCTGGGTGGCTCAGTTGGTTAAGCAACTGCCTTTGGCTCAGTTCATGATCCTGGAGTCCCAGGATCGAGTCCCACATCGGGCTCCCTGCACAGCAGGGAGTCTGCTTCTCCCTTTGACCCTCCCCCCTCTCATGCTCTCTCTCTCTCTCTCATTCTCTCTCTCAAATAAATAAATAAAATCTTAAAAAAAAAAAAGAATGCAGTTTTCATACCTCATACTTCAGTTGTTTTTTTTTTTTCCATAAGTTTCCACTATCTAATTATTAGTCAATGTGCCTGGCCAGCCATTCTCTCTATTTTGGTCATTTAGGTTGATTATACAGGGAGAGGAAACCTCACGTTACTGTTCGCACACCAGATAATTCTTGCCAAATATCTATTCAAATGATCAGATCTGTATGTCAGTGAAGATCACTTGAGAGTTACTTAATGCCATGTTCAGACATGAGATGCTTATACTGCATACAGATGTGCCAGATGGTGAGAAATAAAAACATCACC